CATAACTAGCCTATTGTCTGTAAACTTTCAGATACTTAAAGAACACTTATTTTAAATAAGTAATTGTTTTAAAAAGTAGTCTGCTTATATAATAAAAATTAAATTTGATATAAAATTTATATGAAAATGTAGCCATGTGCAGTAATATTGAAAACAGAATGTGACGCATCGTGATATTGAGTTGATAATGATAATCATAATTGAATTGAATCATGAAACCAGTGAATATTCACACCCCTATTTTTAAAATGGCAGTACTGACATACAGAGATTCCAACTATAAACAAAAAGCATAGAAACTACAATTTTGGTTAAAATGTAAAGTTGTAAAGATGTATTTGCACAGCTGAAGAATTAATTAGGAAAAAATGTAGATCAAGAATAGTTTTGGAATCTGATCGTGAAGTGCCTAAAGATTCCCACCCCTAATAATTACCTAGGATCATAAAAACTCACCAGAGCCTGTGATTGCTGAAATATGGACCTTCAGGATGAAGGCTGACTTTGATTTTATAAATGTTCCCTTAATATCTGACCATTAATGTCCAAAGTGGAAACAGATGTTGTCTCATGTCTGTGATCAGTGTATAAACTTGTTCTTGACTTGTGCATCACTAGTCATTGAGATAAAGACCTGCGTCCTGCGGGCTGGATGTGTGCGTCTCTAGTGCTTCGGTCTCATCAGAGGATGCTGGGTGACTCTCTGTCATCTCAGGCTTTATTTCTTCAGCTCCTTCTAGGTGTGGAAAAGAAGGGTAATGCTGACTTTTGTGTTTACATGTGACATATCATGATTTCAGTTTTATTTCAATTAATTGTGGAGCCCAATTTTTTTTATTTTAATTATCCGTTTCATTTGCTTTTCATCAACTCTTGAATCCCAGTTTAGGAAACCCTGGACTTAAAGGAACAGTTGACCTTAAATCTTCTGTTATCATTTCTCCACCTGTTCATTCTGTTTATGCAGTGACAGCTCATAGTGACGGGCAAATATCAGAGTACGTGTTTGGAGCAACATGAGGGTGAGTAAATATTGACAGTTTATATGTTTGGACTAGTTTGGTCAGTTTTGAACCTGTTGAGCTTGGCTCTGTCTGGTTCTTCAGGTCATCAAATGATGGAGATCTTGAAGCTTGTAGATTCTTGAGCTCTGCAAAGCTTTCCTCTGTTTCTGTAGATAGCAGGATATTCATTAAATGTTGTTCTTAAATATCTATCTATCTATCTATCTATACATACACACACACACACACATATAGACTTAAAAAGTTAGTTCGCCCTTCTACAAATTGGAATTCATAACGTCATGGCATTAAATGTAAAAAATCTACCTCAATGTTTTTGCTTTATTTTCCAATTCAAATATTTAAAGATCCTTAAATCAAGACCCATTTACTTGAGATGCTAAACTACTATATGAAGTCTTGTTTTTTTTTTTTTTTGTTAATTAAGTGAGTTTGTTTAAAACAAGAACAAATATCTGCCAATGGGATATGAAAACTTATTTTCCCTTTGAGTTAAGTAGATTTTTCTGAGCCCAATGGCAGATATTTGTCCCTTTTTTAAACAAACTCAGTTCATTTTGATGCATTTCTCAGAAAACAAGACTTCTTATCATATGTCGTTCTTGCATGTTAAAATGTTTTAGACATTTGCACTGGAAAACAAGACAAAAATACTGAGGAAGAACATTATCCTATGATCACACTCCAAAAAAGTAAAGGTATTTCCATATTCTAATTCAGCAATTATTATTTTTTTTTTGTAAAAAGCAATGGAGATTAGTTTGAAGTTGGATTTTCAAACTTTAAAGTGCTGGTAATGCAATTTATTGTGTTCTCCATAGACATTTTATTGACATATTGTGTTCCCTTCAGTTTATTCCTTACATTTTCTTTAATTGGTCTTTAAAAAAGTCTTAAAATGTCCTAAATTTACCTTCATAAAACTTGCAGAAACCCTGTTATATTATGTAAATTTGTTAATTAAGTGAGTTTGTTTAAAACAAGAACAAATATCTGCCAATGGGATATGAAAACTTATTTTCCCTTTGAGTTAAGTAGATTTTTCTGAGCCCAATGGCAGATATTTGTCCCTTTTTTAAACAAACTCAGTTCATTTTGATGCATTTCTCAGAAAACAAGACTTCTTATCATATGTCGTTCTTGCATGTTAAAATGTTTTAGACATTTGCACTGGAAAACAAGACAAAAATACTGAGGAAGAACATTATCCTATGATCACACTCCAAAAAATAAAGGTATTTCCATATTTTAATTCAGCAATTATTTTTTTTTTTTTGTAAAAAGCAATGGAGATTAGTTTGAAGTTGGATTTTCAAACTTTAAAGTGCTAGTAATGCAATTTATTGTGATCTCCATAGACATTTTATTGACATATTGTGTTCCCTTCAGTTTATTCCTTACATTTTCTTTAATTGGTCTTTAAAAAAGTCTTAAAATGTCCTAAATTTACCTTCATAAAACTTGCAGAAACCCTGTTATATTATGTAAATATAAAGTGCATTTTATCCCCAGATGAAAACATTTGTTTTAGATTTAGTTTTGAACATGTATCTTTACAGACGGAGGAGGCACCTAACGCAGGAGAAGCAGCGCCGTCGATGATCCCGCTCTCAGAGCTGATGTCTCCGAAGAGGAACCGTATCTTCTGGTGCGCGTGCTGAGTGTTGGAGGATCCGTGGACGGCGTTCTCCAGCATGTCTTTAGCGAAGCGTGCTCTCAGGGACCCCGGGGCTGCTTGTCTTGCCGCACTGGGGTCCGTGGGGCCCATGGCCGCCCTCCACTCCTCCACCGCGTTCTCCTTGGTCAGAACCATCATCGTACACGGGCCGCTGCAGAGAAACAAACCATGATTGATCTTACCTGTGTTCTGCATGAAGCCTTCCAGTTCAGTTAAGTCATGTTTAATGGTGAACTCACCGACACATGTAATCCACCAGCTGACTGAAGAAGGGTTTGTCCCGGTGCTCTTTATAAAACTCTTCTGCCATCTCTCTGGACAGAACCGTGTCCTTCAGACGGGAGATGTTGAATCCTCTGCCCCGAATCTCCTCCAGGATTTCCTCTGATATGAGCAGAAACACGCCAAATAAACAGTGAGTTTCTTGTTATTAATATTCTTATATTTTAATTTCATATACACTACATTTGTAAGTCTGGGGTCAGTAAGATTTTAATAAAGCAAGAGATTAACAGTTTTATTAATCAGCATTAAATTGATCAAAAGTGACAGTAAAGACATTAATAATGTTGCAAAAGACTTTTGCACTTTCTATTCTTCTGTGAATCCTGATAAATCAAATGTATTATGTTTCCACAAAAAGTATGAAGCAGCACAACTGCTTTCAACATTGATAATAATCAGAAATGTTTCTTGAGCAGCAAATCAGCATATTAGAATGATTTCTGAAGATCATGTGACACTGAAGACTGGAGTAATGATGCTGAAAATCCAGCTTTGCATCACAGAAATAAATTACATGTTACAGTATTATTATTTTGAATTGGAATAATGTTTAACCTGATGCTGAAAATTCAGCTTTGATCACAGCAATAAATTACATGTTACAGTATTATTATTTTGAATTGGAATAATGTTTAACTATTTTTGCTGTATTTTTGACCAGATAAATGCAGCCTTGGTGAGCAGAAGAGATGTCTCTCAAAAACAAAAAAAGTTTTGCAGAGCTCAAACAGTTTGAACTTTCAGTTTGCACTATATTTCAGCAGTCTCATCAGTATTTATCGCTTTGACATGTTTGAAAAGCATTGCTGTATTGATATTTTGTTCAAAAGCTCTAGCCGCAACTATTATATTTCGTACAATAAATTCAATCAGACTTCATTCAGACTGTTTTGTAAATTATTTTAATGCTAAGTGTATCTATTAACCTTTTTTTCTAAACATTTTATAAATTCTTCTTTTAAAAAATTTAAAATTTTTATCTCCCATTGGCATTTATTCATCTTTCAAATTGTAACTGGCATCATATTTGCACACCAAATTTACCTTGTTTCTTACATGTTCATACTTAATTATATTTTGTCTGGTCTTTCAAGGCATTAATGTTTGCCTACAAAACCACCACTGGCTCTGCACCCCTTTATCTAAATTCATTACTTCAGACTTATGTGCCTCTAGAAGCTTGCGTTCTGTAAGTGAACGTTGCTTTATTGTGCCATCACAAAGAAGCACAAAATCACTTTCACAGACTTTTACATTA